CAGGTTTTAGGCCAACGTTGAAGAGAAATGCCAACAAATTGCCTTTAAATTGACCAAATGTAGAATTATACTGTGCTCTGTTTACCTCAGAAGTCTGACCTGGTTATGTTCCAGCGCTACAAGTTGGAGAACCAAAGTTTTACTGGAGGTTGTTAGCGCACCAGTTGTTAACTATGCATTCTACATTGAGCCACTGAGATATAGGAATGTTGTTCTGGTTGATCTAAGCGCTGAATGGATGTCATTAAGCATCACAGAAGACTTCATCATGATTCCCCTTTGCTAGTTTAGAAACGACGTTGAGAATAATGTTGGAATCTCAGGTTTTAGGCCAACGTTGAGGAGAAATGCCAACAAATTGCATGTAAATTGACCAAATGTTGAAGTTGGAGAACTAAGGTTTTACTGGAGGTTGTTAGCGCACCAGTTGATAGCTACGCATTCTACATTTTGGGAATGGATAATGGACACAGGTCACCAAGGCAGCAGCCACATAAGCTACTGAGAAAAAGGAATGTTCTAGTTAATCTAAGGGCTGGATGGATGTTATTAAGAGTCACAGAAGACTTCGTCATGGTTCCCCTTTGCTAGTTTAGAAACAACGTTGGAATCTCAGGTGTTAGGCCAACGTTGAGGAGAAATGCCAACAAATGACATGTAAATTGACCAAATGTGGAAGTTGTAAACACACCAGCTAATAACTACACATTCCACATTTTGGGATTGTCAGTATTGCTACTTTACGCCATCGATAAAGGACACAGGCCACCAAGGCAGCTGTGCCACTGAGATAAAGGAATGTTTTAGTTCAGGGGTGTCCAATCCTGGTCCTGGAGGGCCACAATCCTGCATGTTTTAGATGTTTCCCTTCTTCCAACACACCTGATTCAAATGATCAGCTCATCATCAAGCTCTACAGAAGCCTGATAACGATCCTGATCATGTGAATCAGGTGTGTTGGAAGAAGGAAACATCTAAAGCATGCAGGACTGTGGCCCTCCAGGACCAGGATTGGAGACCCCTGTTTTAGTAGATCTAAGCGCTGGATGCATGTTATTAATCGTCACAGGAGACTTTGTCATGGTTCCCCTTCACTAGATAAACCCCAACAATGTTCTCTGCTTGCCGACACTTAAATACACGCCTCCTCTGGTTGTAGGATAAAACAGTGTAGGGCTCCACCTGGTGGTGCAACCAGGTACTGCAGCTGTTTTACAACATTAGAAGTTCGTATTATCTAGAAAAGTTGTATGTAATTGTGTTTGTGTTTTCCTTCTCCAGGCGTCCTGTGGAACTTGTCCTCGTGCGACGCCGTGAAGATGACCATCATCCGCGACGCGTTGTCCACGCTGACCAACACCGTCGTCATCCCGCACTCGGGCTGGAGCACCGTGTCCCACCGCGACGAGCACAAGGTCAAGTTTCAGTCGTCGCTGCTGCTGCGCAACACCACCGGCTGTCTGAGGTGAGCGGCCAATCCGACGCTCCGTCACTTGAAGCGTCAAGTCGAGATTTTATGTCCGTTTAAAGGCCGGAACGCGGCTCAAATCCTGGAATGATCCCGTTGAACTGTGGGCGTTACGTATCAGAGTTAATCAGAAGGTCACCACCTCAATCCGTCCCCAAAGAAAACACCTCCAACAAAGCGCCCGCTGAGCTGTTTGCTCATCAAACTGATGCTTGTTTTGAAATGCAAGGATGACTTTTGGATTTATCAGTCGTCTGCGCCGCTTCTTTCTGTCTGCGTCTCGTCTTAATGGCTCGGTGAAGCCACAGCGCATAATCACGGCCGTATAATCCATCAGCAAGGGCCTCCTCTGTAATGGAGATTTTATGCAGCAGCCAAGTCTTAAAGATGCGTTCGACCACATTGGCGTTCGGAGACAAACAACAGCCGAGTGTCTCAAAGCTCGGGATGAAGGTGGAGATTCATCACCTGCAGGGTTCAGACTGATGGCACCAAAGCTCGGCTTAAAAGTCGACCGGTTTCCTTTGAATTTGGAGTGAAAGCTCCCTTCATCCCATGTGGTTACGTTTTGGAAATAAACTGTGATTAGATTAAAGCGGCATATGGCAAAATAACACCCTCCGAGGGCTGCAGAGGAGCCGCAGGAATTAAATTGTCTTCATCGAAATCAAGAAGTATGATAAAAGTATAAGTAGCACATTTGTATTTGCCACCCACAGCAGCGAGGGACGTGTTGGAGCGAAGGGAGCCAAAAGCAGAGCGAAATGAAACGTCTAATTCCGAGCTTTGGTGTTTATTAGCCGATTTCTCTCAAACTGTTGCTTGTTAATTGTTGTTTGTTTTCGACAAACAATCTGTTTCTCAGCTGAGATGAAAGTTAAAACTTTGCTTCTCTGGCTCATGAACGTTTTTGTCTTCTGTGAGCAGAAGAGTTTCAGATAAACGGAGAACATTTCACTTTATTTAAGCTCATTTCTGTGCTGACAGTTTGGAAAGTAGGACAAGAAATCGACAAATTTGTGGGTTTTTTTCAGGTTCGACACCAAATATTTGTAATTAAAGAGATGAAAATCTTGCCGTCAAATTTAGAACGACACAAACTCCAAGAAGAACTTCTGTATTTATGTTTCATATGTGTTTAGGTCAAACTGTTTTCTTTAGCGTTTACATCAAGATCAGAACCAAAGTAATGCATTTTTAAATTTGTTTAATTCATCAGAAGTTGGTTGAAAAAGAAAAACAAAGCTGCAAATCTTTAGAAAGATGCTAAATTTTGCATCTGGCTGTCCAACTTTCTGTAATCTATCTGTGAACCGTCTTAATGTGGATGTTTTTAAAACCGTAAAAGATACAAACATCAGACCAAGCTACAGCCTGCAAGTTATTGACGTTTGTTCTTTAGACTTGTTAAAGAAGAAGTCTGAATCTTCTTCTTCACCTCATGAATTGTCTTCCAGGACATGAAAACATCATATTGACGCGTTAACAAGGTAAAAAGAAGAACTTAAATTGGTGTTTTTATTAAAGATACACATAAAAAGCCAAATAAACTACTTTAAACTCTGGTTAGATGTTTTTTTAATCACATCAGAGCATGACTTTCTGCCGTGCAACGCCTCTACTTTTGCCTCTTTGACACATTTTAATTATGCAATGAGTCAAAAAACAAACAGACTTAATAGAATAATGTAGAAATCCATAAGAGAGACAAGAAGGTGGCAGTAACTCACCAACAAGCTGTTTACAACCAGTGTGGAGTTCAATCTGAGACATTTTAAGGCAGAAATATGCAAATTTAATACACAAAAAGTCGTTTTTAGGGGTTAAATCAACAACCAGAGAGAAGAAAAATCAGCAGAATTTGGTTTTCTTTGGCTTAAATGACAAACTTTTGTACATAGAAGTGATTTAAAGTTTTCAAATTTCAGTTACAGGACAGTTAAGTGTGTAAAGTTAAGGTAGAAATATTCACTCGTGTTGCTTATTTAACTTAAAATGTGCCGTCTAGTGTATAAAAAACACCACATTGACGCGTTAAGTAAAAAATAAAGTTGATTTTCACATAAAAAAGGAGATTTAAAACAGCCAAGGTGTGTTTTTTTCTCTGGAAACATGTTGAAGTTCTTGAAAACTATCAAAACATGAATCTTTTACAAGTTTTCCACCCTGTTAACGGCCCCGTATCGTGTTTTTTATGCTAGAAGACGCATCATTAGTGGGAAAAAAAGCAGCAAATTTCCACTTTGAAGCTGCAGTTTGTTGATGACAGTCTGAAAAACCGTCACAAACCGACAGATTTGCGACTTTGTGTGTCGTTATTCGTGTTCTGGATCAGTTTCAGACGTGACTGACGACCGGCGCTGCTTTGTCGAGGAGCAAAATGTTAATTCCCTCTTTGATATTATCTGTGTTTTCCACCAGTGGAGTCTCTCTTTCATCCTACTTCTGTTAACTCAAACCTGATGTGTGTGTTTTTTTGTTGTTGTATTGAGCAAACATGAAGAGTCGTGTCATCCGGAGACGCTTCGGTTTGTTTACCAGAAACACTCGGCAGAGAAAAGAGCATCTGCTGAGCGAACCGAAGCTGCCGAGCGTGACGCTTCCTGCTCAGGTGTGTTTGAGGAGCAGCCTGCTGCAGCGGCCGGCGCGACAGAGATGCATTGTGGGAGTCCGTTGTGCAGTCTCCTCGTGTCGGCGGCTCCGATTGGACGAGCGGCCGCCTGCTTTTACTGTATCCGGGCAGGTTTGAAGCCACCCTGTGGGGGAACCCGCTCACTGCATGCCTGCTTCTGTTTGTGTCTCCGAGGAACCTGAGCTCGGCCGGCGAGGAGGCCCGGAGTCAGCTGAGATGCTGCGAAGGTCTGGTGGACTCGCTGCTGCACGTCCTCAAAGCCTGCGTCAACACGTCCGACTACGACAGCAAGGTGCAGCCACAGACACACACACAGACAGTCGGTGGTGGAGTTATCCTGAGTTAACCCGACAGCAGCGCGGCTGGAAACTCAAATGTAATTAAGCACGCGGACGCCTGCTTCCTGTCCGCTAATGGAGGACGACGCTCAGAGAAGCTGATGCTGCAGAGTCACAACGTCTCAGATGTTTCACATGCAGGCAGCAATTTCTGACCACATTTGTGCAACACGAAACACAGATAAGATAAAACTTGTGCCTGATGTTGCTCAGAAAACAAAACAAAGCAGCGACTAATAAAGAAGCTGCAGATACGTCACTGAACATAAAAATAAATCAACTCATAAGAAGTACGATTCTTAAGTGGTAAAGTAACGTCACACATAAGGAAATATTGCACCTGAAATTTAAATATTGCACCTGATAAAGACACAGTGCACATGAAATATTGCTAATGAAACTGAAGCATTGCACATGCATTTGGGATATTACGCATGAAAATAAAATATTACACATGCACATTAAATGCTGCACATGAAATTAAAGAAATACTGCACACGAAAAAATAACTAATTGCACATGAAGTTGAAATATTCCACAATAAATTGAAATAACACACATGAAAATGAAATGTCGCCACATAATAATGGCAAATCCTAATAAATACTAAAAATGACGACTTAAAAAAAAGAATAATTTGTCAGATCTCAAATTTCGGTAAAATAATAATATTAAACAACATTTCTAGAACACACTGAAGCCTCTCAGAGGATAAACTGCAATTAGTCAAATGTATTTATGTAGCACCTTATAATACGGAGAGGTTCATTAAAGTGCTTTACAGATAAAACAAAATGTAAAAAAAAATTATGCATTAAATTAAATTGAGCAAAAACAGTGCAGAAAAAAATGAATAACTGAATAAAACAGCTTATTTATAAAACAAAATAAGAGATAAATAATAAAAACAAATAAGAGATAAAGTGTGGCCCAAAAAAAGTTTAAAATTAAGTGAAATAAAGTGAAGATAGGTTTGTTTAATAACAGAAAATAAAATAATTTATGATAAACCAGTTGACTTTTATAGAACCTCGTCGTGCTCAGAGGTTCTTTAAAGTTCCTTATGGTGAAAAGTAAAAATAAAATAAATAAATGAAGAAATAATTAAGTAATTAAATAAATATAAAAAAAATAATTTTAAAAGTGTGACTAATCAACCAGTGCAGAAACAAATTAGCAACACAGATAGAAAGAATTTAAAAAAGACAAAAGATAAAAAAAAAGAAAAGGACAATAAAATAAAAAAAAGATTAAAGTTTAATGAAAGACAGTTTAGACCAGAATGTATAATAAAAGGAAATAAATCAAATAAAAGAAGCTTCACTTGGAGCTGCTCTCTGAACCCAACCTGCTGTGGAGGTTCTGTCTTTCTTGTAGCGCCACCTTCAGGCTCAGACCTGCACTAACGCGTGATCGTTCCCCCGTCAGATCGTGGAGAACAGCGTCTGCACCCTGAGGAACCTCTCGTACCGCCTGGAGGTGGAGATGCCCTCCTCCCGTCTCCTCGGCAACCAGGAGCTGGACACGCTGCTGGGCTTCTCGTCGCCGGCCAAAGAGCTCGACTACCTCTGCTGGGGCAAGAGGCGGCGGGGCAGGAAGAGGGGCGGCTGGCCCGACAGCAAGGTACCGCCGCCGCCGTCACGAGTTCTGGACGCATGAAAAATACCGAAAACAGAACCTCAGCGTCTCGCAGCAGGTTCTGCTCCAGCATCTCTGATTAGGCTGAAGTATTAAAGCATGAAATCTGGATGTTTGTGAAGATGCTGGAGACGTTTCAGCTTCATTATCAAATGCTGTCTAAATTATTCTTTTTTTTAAAAAATGTGAGCAGGTTTTTTCACACATTGAAATTTTGGCTGTTTGATCAAAAATATCTGAGAAACTGAGAAAATAAAAACCTGATATTTGTTCTGGTATTTCTCACTGACTGGAAACCGACTGTGAAACCAGAGTAGGACAAGTCTACAAACTAATTCAAACCTGGCCTGAAAGGAAATCCCAAATCAGTCCCAACCTGGTCTAAAACCAGGTCTAAAACCAGTCCCAATCTGGTCTTAAAAAAAGATATAAATCTGTCCAAATCCAGTCTAAAACCAGTCTAAATCCAGCCTAAAACTAAGTCCAAAACCAATCGGAAACAAGCCCACAAACAAATTCAAACCTGGTGTAAAAGAAAATCCCAAACCAGGTCTAAAACCAGTCTTAAACCAGCTCAAATCTGGTCTAAAATCAAGTCATAAACCAATCGGAAACAAGTCCACAAACAAATTCAAACCTGGTGTAAAAGAAAATCCCAAACCTGTCCAAACCAGGTCTAAAACCAGTCTTAAACCAGTTCAAATCTGGTCTAAAATCGTCAAAAACCAATCGGAAACAAGCCCACAAACAAATTCAAACCTAGTGTGACAGGAAATCTTAAACCTGGTCTAAAACCAGTCCAAAACTGGTTTAAAACTAGTCCAAATCCGATCTTAAACCAGTTCCGATCTGGTCTAAGGTCTAAAGTCTAAAACAAAGCCATAAACCAGCTCAAATCTGGGTCCAATATTAAACAAGTCCTCAAACAAATTCAAACCTGTTCTGAAACCAGTCCAGATTTGGTCTAAAACCAGTCTAAACCTGGTTTAAAACCAGTCCAAATTCGATCTATGGTCTTAAAAAAAAAAAGAAGCCACAAACCACTTCAGATCTGGTTCCAATATGAAACAAGTCCAAATTCATGCCAAACCTGATCTAAAACCAATTCTGAAACCAGTCCAAAGCTCATTTCTGGTGTCTGCTCGTACCGTCAAAATCACATCCTTCAAAACGTTTATTTCCTGTCGTTGGAAATTACATTAAATTTTGTCCATTTTATCTAAAAACTGATTTTATATGGAAGCGAATAAGTGACTCAACAGTGAGTAAAAATGTGACAAGAGCAAAAAAAACACCCACAAACTGCTGCTTGGAGTTCAGAGGGTTAAATATCATTTTAAATAAATGAATTAAATCAAACTTAAACCCTGTTTTATTCATCTGCATGTGACAATAATTCTTAATATTATAATGAATCAATTCACCTGAATCTAGATCAAGAGCAGAACATTTATTAATTATTAAAAATCAGTTATTAATGGTAGATTAACTAATTAAAAATATGTTTCTGATTTGGACCAGCAGCAGGTTCTTGCTCTTAAAGTTCTTGAGATTCTGACGTGTTGCTCTGTGTTCAGTGGGACGGCGTCGGTCCGATCCCGGGCTTCTCTCAGTCCCTGCGTGGCGCCGAGCTGCTGTGGCATCCCATGGTGGTGAAGCCGTACCTCAACCTGCTGGCCGAGAGCTCCAACCCGGCCACGCTGGAGGGAGCCGCCGGGTCGCTGCAGAACCTCTCCGCCGGGAACTGGAAGGTAGAACCTTCCTCAAGTTTCACCTGAAGTCTGTAAACCAAAGCTTTAACTCAACAAAGATGAAACCACAAAGCCGGACTGGGTCTCTGTTGTGGTGGATTTTTGTAGTTTAATCACAGGAAAAGAAAAACTTTGTTTGTTTCTCTGTGAAACCCGTAAGAACACAAGAAAACAACAATAATGTACGACAGTGTTTGTGTTCTCTCCCTGAGTGGTTCTTCTGGTTTTGTTGGTTCACCAGCCTGAAGCATGAACATGAACCTGCAGCTGGAAACACGACTAGAACTCTGAGTGGTTTACATCTTTGGAGATCAATGTCCTACGATTGGGAAGAAAGAAGAACTAGAACAATAACTCCAGCAGCGTTAGAGAATGATGCTGGGTTTATCAAGAACATACTAAAAATATGACCTCCAGCTCGAAACGTAACGAGAACTCTCAGGACAGTTTTAGAACCTCGTTAGATCATATTATCGAAAGCTTAGGAAGAACTAGAACTCTGTGTTTTTAGAACGTCTTTAACAAGAATGTTCATAGAAATATAGAAACATTGCTCTTAAGTGTGTGTAGAACGTCTTCAGAGAACATTATCGTATGTTTAAGAAGAACATTCTGGTAAATAAAACGATACAAGAACTCCTAGAACATTTTGGACCATCTTTCGACAACGTTTTTCTACCTTTTTAAGAAGAACTTGAACTCTATCAGAGTGAATTTAAAACATCTTTTAAGAACATGATCCTGTGTTTAGAAACCTAAAGGAAAAACTTCCAGCTGAGAACATGACCAGAACCCTCAGATCATTTTAGAGCGTCTTCAGAAAATGCAGATGTTTATGAAGAACATTCTGGGAAATATAAGAGCGTTTCAACAACTCTGTGTTTAGAGCAACTCTAGAGAACATTATCTTGCTAAACTCCAAGCTGAAACCTGAACTAGAACGCTCTCAGAACATTTTTAGAACACCTTCGGGATTAATAACGTTTTATCTTAATGTATCCGTAGAATCTCTAAAAACATTGAATACAGAGCAAAGGAAACATCTCTGGATATTATGTCCACAAACCTGTCAGAAGAACAGAACGGAGGTCTCTCATCTAGAACTTGATCGTTTACGTTGTTTGTTTGTTTGTTTGTTTGTTTGTGCAGTTCTCGGCCTACATCCGAGCGGCGGTGCGTAAGGAGAAAGGTCTGCCCATCCTGGTGGAGCTGCTGAGGATGGACAACGACCGGGTGGTTTGTTCTGTCGCCACGGCGCTGAGGAACATGGCGCTGGACGGACGCAACAAGGAGCTGATAGGTGAGAAAACGCCGACAGAAACATCAGAAGCTGCTGATGAGTCGCTACCAGCTCTGGTACCAGAACCTTTCTACAAAGTCGTCTGAAGAACGCAGAGTAGATTAAGATTCATGATTCTGCTCAGAGTGTTGACTTGATGATGCAGTTAGAACAGATCTGGACTAAAACAGGAGAATAAATATTGAGTTTACATGAACCCACTGTTGTCTTTGACCCGTAGAAATGTAGCACAGTCTAAAACCAGTCTAAAACCAGTCCAAAACCAGTCTAAGACTAGTCTAAAACCAGTCTGAAAACCAAATACAAACCTGGTTGCAAACCAAGTCTAAAAAAAAAAGTCCAATATCAGTCTAAAACCAGTCCAAAACTAGTCCTAAAACCAGTCCAAATCCAAACTTGGTGTGAAACCAAGTCTTAAACATGTCTAGAACCAGTCTAAATTTGATGCAAAACAGAGTCCAAAACCAGTCTGAAACCAGGCCAAATACGGTCTAAAACCAGTCCAAATTGGGTCTAAAACATATCCAAACCAAGTCTATAACCTTTCTAAAATGGAGTCCAAATCAGGTCTAAAACAAAGTCCAAAGCCAGTCCAAGTCTGGTCTAAAACCTGTCCAAGACCAGTCTGAAACCAGTCCAGATCTGGTCAAAAACAATTTTTATAAAATTGGTCTAAAACCAGTCTACATCGGGTCTTCAACCTGTCCAAAACTGGTCTAAAACCAGTCCAGATCTGGTCTAAAACAAAGTACAAAACCATTCTAAAACCTGTCAAGAACCAGTTTACATTTGGTGTAAAACCTGTCTAAAACTGGTCTAAAACCAGTCCAAAACCAGTCCAAGTGGTACTGACACCTGCTGTTTCTGGTCTGGGCCTAAAGACTGAAAAGCCAGACTTAAATAAGATCCCTTCATTGTGAGGAGGATCATCGACCCCTCGTCGCCCTCTAGTGGTGAAATAATCCTGAACTCTGGTTTTAATCAGAAAGCTGTTGAAGCAGAACTGAGACTTCTGGCTTCAGTCAGTAGTGATAATAGACTGTTTCTGAAGAACTGAGAAGCCTGTAAATGGACTGTCGTCGACGTAGAATGAAGGTGTTGAACGTGTTACAGAAGACTGACGAGCAGATTTCACTTCTAAAGCTTCCTCCTCTGTAATTGTTGGAGTTGACGCTTTAAAAAAATGAAGCTCAGTTTGTTCTTTGGTGCCTAAATGAGTGTAAAAGCTCATAAAATAATAATTAATACAAAACATGTCGTCCTGCAGGAAAGTACGCCATGAGGGACCTGGTGAACCGGCTGCCCGGCGGCAGTCCGTCGGTGCTGTCGGACGACACAGTGGCGTCGGTCTGCTGCACGCTGCACGAGGTCACCAGCCGCAACATGGAGAACGCCAAAGCTTTAGCCGACAGCGGCGGCATCGAGAAGCTGGTGGACATCAGCAAAGGGCGAGGGAAGGGGTACGAAGCAGCAGCACCGCCGCCCTGCTGGTGTCACGCAGCAGAACCGCTGATTCTATGTGTTTTATTTCTGTCGTCACAGATACTCTATGAAGGTTGTGAAGGCGGCAGCTCAGGTGCTGAACACACTGTGGCAGTACAGAGAGCTGAGGAGCCTCTACAAGCAGGTCAGCTCCTCCACTCCAGCATTTATATCACATAGGATTTCTTTATACTGACGAATATGAAGTAAAATAATGATGTGTGTGTTGCAGCTGATCACTGCTCTGTGAACAAACAACACTCATGTCGTCGTTATTTTAACTTGAACTGGTGACAAGCTTCATAAAAACTTCCAGTTTACACAGTCAGTAGAAGACAGCCTCCTTAAATCAGATTAAAAAAATAAATTAAATAAACTAAATACCTTTAAAAAAAAAAAAAACCCGTTAAGTCGATTTACAGCTTGACACGCTTCTAAACTAAGTCAGAAAAAAACTAAATATTCATTAATTATTCATTTTTTAGGTCGATTTGGTGAATAAGTTACACTCATAATTTACATTCTGTGATTTAAAAGATTAAAGACTTCAAGAAAAGCATTCTGGGACACAAACAAACAAAACAAACAAACAACAGATTGAAGCGTTACTCCCAGAACCTCTTTAGAACCTGTTTAGAGAACGTTATCGTATGTTTTAAGAGGGAAAAACGTTCAGCTGAAAACATCACTAGAACGCTGTTATCCTTCATTTAGGAAGAACATTCTGAGAAAAAACATGACTAGAAATCTCTGAGGGTTTTTTAAGATAGCTTAGAAAAATGTTTCAGAAGAACGTAACGGTAAACAGAGAAATAACCTCTTGCTCAAAACATTACTTAAAGTCAAAGAAAGGGAACGTTATCGTAGCGTTTTTATAAAAACATTCTGGGAAAATCTCACATTTGGGAACAAAAAAAAGGGAAAAACTCTTCTCTGAGAACGTTCTTCAGGGTTCATAAAGTTCTGTGTTCATGTGTCAGCAGAATCTCTGAAAGTATTTAAATTAAAGACTAAAGGAGCAAAGAAAACATCTTTAGAAGCTTTTATAAAACGCAAACCCGTCAGTTCTCTACAAACCCGACAGACGAGGAACTAAAAGTACTGAAGACTTTAAACTGTGAAATAAAGAACTTTTCTAAATGTTGTTCTCAGGGCAGCTTTGTTTACCAACAAAGAGACATAATAAACAGAATTCTGACTGTTTGTTCTCATCTGTTCTAATCTGTTTGACTGTTTTTATCGATGACCCACACGGTTTATTGGCTCCTCCACATCCTGTTGGTGTTTATCGATGCTCCTCCACATCGGTCAACAGGACGGATGGAACTACACCCACTTCGTCACGCCCGTCTCCACGCTGGAACGCGACCGCTACCGCTCCCAGCCGACGCTGCCCACCAGCCCGCTGCAGATGTCCCCCGTCATCCAATCAGGTGCGAGATCAGTCGCCTGGCGGGCGGGCTGAAGTGGGCTTTGGCTGATGGTAACGTTTTGCTGTTGTTGGTCCTCAGGCGGCAGCGCGACGTCCTCGCCGGCGATGCTCGGCATCCGACGCCACAGCTCCAACTACCAGCGGGCGCAGTCATCTATGCAACTCGACACGTATTACGGAGACAACAGTTTACACAAACGGCAGTACACAGGTGGGTCAGGCTTATGTGTTCAATAACACATAACCAGGAAAAGGTTCATGCGGACTGTCAACACACTGTCCAGAACCACATCTAATGTCCAGCTGTATTTTATAAATAGTAGTTTGTTCTTTTACAGCGTTTGACAGTGAATTACAGAGTTTTTACTGTATTTAAATTTGCTAAATAAATCATTATTTTACAGATATTTGCTATTATTTTAAAGTAAAAGTGAATTTTTTAAACCACGATTTTATACATTTTTCTAGTTTTGTTAAATCACAGATAATATGAAGTAAAAAACGGAAAAATGTAGTAATTTTAATGTTGACTGTAAAAAAACAAAAAAAACCCAAACCGTAAATAACGTCCACATAAAAAGTCTGTATTTCTATAAATAGTAGTTTGTTCTTTTACAGCATTTAACAGTTAAATTGGTTTAACTGTATTTAAATCCACTTTAAAAAATTACTTTACAGACTTTTGCTATGTTTGAAAGAAAAAGTTTTGAAAAACGAAGTATTTTAAACATATTTTTCAGGTTTTGTTATAAGAAATTAACATGTTGACTGTAAATAAACGGGTCAAATCTGTGAATAATATCCACATTAAAAAAAGTCTGTATTTTTATAAATGGTCATTAATTTTCTGTTTTACAATGTTTTACTGTATTTAAATCAGCTAAAAGTACATTTGTTTTACAGCTATTTGTCATTATTTCCATTGTTTGTTGTTGTTTTGTTTTTGTTGTTGTTTTCTACAGTTTGTGAACATTTAATGTATTTCTTTCAGGCATCACTTTTTAGTTTCTTAATAGTGTTTTACAGTATTTACGGCTCTCTGCTGTTGGTGTTTCACTAAATGGTTTTTCTTCTGGTGTGTTCAGGGTCTGAGAAGAAAACCCCGTATTTCATTGGGACGTATTCCTCCCAGTCAGGAGAGGACTTGAGAAGATCCCAGGTCAGAGGGTTCACCATTCAAACACATTTTTTACAGTTACAGACTGCATCTTTCTTCTTCTAACATTAGGTAGCGACACTAGACAGTAAATACAGACCAACTGATTTATCGATGAACAGAAAATGATTCAGTCAATTGGCAATTTTTTAAAAAATATCTCTATAAGTAGTTGATATGTCAAGCTAAAACTACACATATTTATCCTGTTAAACGTTCAGACCTAACAGAGGAAGTCGAGCAGCAACTGTTTCTAGAAGTTTGATCATCTGAGATGCAGCGATCTGTTCATGATTCTTTGCGCTTCCTGCAGCACCCAGAGCCATTCTACGACGAGCCCGACAGGAAGAACTTCAACAGCTACCGAATGTACCTGTCGTCCCCACAAGGCTACGGCGAGGAGCCCTACGAGGACGAGCCGGTGCAGCTGACGCCGTCGTCGCCCGACGCCTACGCCGGCCAGTCGCTGCGGTTCAAAGCCAACACCAACTACGTGGACTTCTACTCGACCACGCGGAGGCCTTCAAACCGGGCCAACAAGTTCACCGGCTCCCCCGACTCGTGGGTCTGAGGACGGCGCCCCGTCGGCCGCCAGTCTGTGGGTGTTTGAGTGCGTGAAAGGTTTGCGGATGCATGTGAACGTGTCTGTGTTGAATCTGTGCTGAATGACGGGGCTCGGGTTGCTTTGGCAGCTTTTGACTAAGTCGCACCGATAAATACGAAGCACTCCTTCAGACTTTAGACTTCCACACTAACAAAAACTGCCGTAACATAGTTTGCCAGGGTTCTGACTGCAACAACAGATCATTAAATAATGGAAAAAATTGTCAGTGGCAGCTTTTAATGTTCCATTAAACCATACTTTTAGGTTGATATTTGAGGTGGAATATTCCTTTAAACCAGCGTTTTTGGTCCATATGGAAGGATTTTGGGTGGAATGCTTCTTGAAACCAAACTTTTAGTTCTATGTTCAAGGATTCTGG